ATTATTATTGACAAAAATACTAACAACAAGGGCATACTTACAAAGATCACTGCTGATATGTAGGTTCCAAATGTCAAACAAAATCCGTGTAACTATGCATGAACTACATAACTTATAAATACTCCACTTCAGTTTATCTTACCTTAACAGTCCCAACTAATAATTGTGCACGAACCAATATTTTTCAGAATAATTCCCTTTGTTGTAATTTTACTTTCAAAGAAATTTTATGACTAATCGTATTTGTAATAAACTTTTTCAAATGAATAAACATACTTCACATTCATAATCTGCTTAAAAACATCATCTAATCTGATTCAAAGAAGTAATCAAGATAGAAGTGTAGTACTTCTTATCTTATCTTATCGGTTAGTGGGTTTCCAAAACAGTCTTAGTCTAACAAAAAGTGCATCAGTGAGACTACATTCTTCTCTCCATATAATAAGATTATATTTGTTCTCCTTCTTGTACAACTTGAATGCCTTCCTAGATAGAGTCAATTCACTGAATGTCACAAAGTATGGCACACTAGTTCTAGTTTCTGAACCATGAATCTACACACATGTATATTAGGTCCAATGCTTCTTCACGGCACTAATAGGTCAGTTTCAAGGGAGTGAGTCAATATTGTCTAAAATTCATGCACATGGCGATTTCAAGGAGACAAGTAACGATCACATTTCCAGAAATCATTTGTCGTTGCATTGCTAAACGTTTTGAAGAGAAAGGATTTTTAATATTTCTGAAACAACTACTGTCTGAAACTTTAGAATCACTTAACCAATTTGTAGCACTACTCTACATAATTATGAGCGATACAATGGGAATCCATTGTGAAGGGGAATGCATGAAGAATAGCCCGTATCCTAAACGACTTGTTAAGTTTCTTTGAACCTCCAAGTTACCCTCCATACCAAACAATCTACGACTCGTCAAGAAATCTCACAGAGAATCTAAGGAAAACTCTATTCCGTATCTACGAACAACTGTTCGGCATTATGATAAACTGATTTACCAGCTGAATGTTGCATTTTAGGTAAAATTCATACAGAATCTAAAAAACAAAAGGATTTCAGTCAAAGTCAAAAATGTTAAGCATTTCGCTGATGAACGAGATTTTTAAATAAAGGTCCTGAAAAATACATGTTTAATTTGTCCAGCATAAAACTCAACAAACTTCAAAATGAAGCTTTGTCACTTGTTTTCAAATTTCACCCACGGGATGAATCAGTAACGTCTGTATCAACAGTTATCAGAACGTGTACTGGTGTGCGAAAATAAACATGGTTAGCTGAACCCCAGAGTAATCGATATAGCTAATCAGTATCATACATCACCATCAACTAAATCGGAAATCATGACCTAAAATCACTTTAAAGCTTTAAAATGTAATCAAAGAAATGAACGAGCGGTATTTATTAAACTAGATAGGGCCACTGGCATAGTACTGATAAACATGTCTGAGTATGTTCAAAACATGGAATCTATCATGAATGACAAGTCTGGATGCATGCTTGAGGATTCAGACAAAGAAGTTATCGAAGAAACTTATGGATAGTCAGAAACGTTAAGAACTGAAAACTCTAGGATCATGCTTAGCAACCACGTACGCAATTAAAAAGAATGCTGGGAAATAACGTGGATTCATCGTATTCGGCAAACTTTGTTGCAGCTGTTTTAATAAAATTAACTTTAAAAGCCTTTTCCTAGGTACCTCCCCCTGACTGGTTTACATCGAGTTAAGGGGATAGCTGTCGAAGTTCATGTTTCATAGTCTTCCACTGTGACAAAAGTGACAGCTTTTCCGTTTGTTTTGTCTGCTCGATCGGGCAACATGAAAGAGAGTAGAATGTACAAATACCATTGGTGTAAAAAAGTGATGATAAAAATTGAGAATAAGCAGAAATGAAATTGGAAATGAATTGTGATTTTTTTGGAGTGTACAAAGTCGGTGAATCGTAAATCATACAGATGTCATTTTCTGTCACGGAAGGGTTCAAAAAATCTATAACCTTATAGATTTATTTTTTCATAGGTGAAAGCGTAACAAAACCTATTTTTCATTTGAAATCTGTAATAATTTCAGACGCTTAAATTTAGTCAAAAAGCTTATACGTGAGAAACAGGGAAACATATATAAACTTTAATAAGAGACTGAAGGAAATTGGTTCATCAGGATAAGTGGCATCTTGGTGAATAGTAGTCTACTTTACGATTTTCTGTAACTACTAAGGAAATAATGCCACACAACAACTCGCTTGCTAGACGATGTACCACATCATCGTGATACTTTTCGATTTCTTGTCTTGTTTCGGGTGGAATACAGTTATTAATCATGAACACTAGTTGTCCGAACCACGAATAATTTTCTTATGTATACCTTAAGCTGTAAGAACCAATACAAGAACATCTGATCTATGTACTCAAAGGAAATATGTGTATCAGCTTTGTGTACTCTGGTGCATAACAGGGTCCACACGGTCTTTATGAACTTTTCTAAATTTAACGTTTTAACCTCTTAGCTCATCTCATTCTTTTACTATGCCTAGCTCATTTCATGGATAAACATTTATTTTCGCATGTTACTAGATTTCTAAACTTGTTTATTTATACTGTTATCAGTATTCATTTTCAACCTTTAGGTAACCCATGATACTTGTTGTTCAGTTCTTTCGTCATCGTGTGCACACGATTTTTCACCCCTTCTTGAGCATAACTCATCACTATATAACCATTATTTGAACCTGAGTAAACGAACTCAATTCAAACCCCACCCTGATAAATACTAGTGAATCATTTTCGTTGGATTTTGTTTCCTCAAATATGGTGATCGTCATGTTCCTATGGACTTAATAATACATCGAACATTAGACTGACTACTATTCTAGCGAAGACGATGCTTGCATTTCTTTGGTTTAATCTTCATTTACCTACAATACTGTCTATTTCAATTTCGAAATAATTTTAGGTTATACTTTACATTGGCTATTGTTTTTCTCCTATTCTCAAGCAATTATAACTTTCCAAGAGGAAGTTATTAAAAACAACTGTCTGTTTAAATTATTTTATAGAGGTCGGTAAACTGCATACATTTCGTGTTGAAAACCAACGAAGAAATCAGTCGTTAATCTTTAAAAAAGAAAACTAAGTTCGTTCTAAAATATATTTTTAGTAAGTCATTCATATCAGTTGTTGTAACAGTGTACATCTAATTTACGTGAGGTGGTTTAAGGTAACCAACAAAAAGTCTTGGAATTGGCTTTCGCAACGGTTTCCATCTATTGGCAGCACATAACCTTGCCGCAGAGAAACCGATATGCTTACAAGTATCCAAACTAGTATCACCCAGCCTTGCAGACACAGGAATTAGTATCGAGGTACTTAGGCAATGATCAATTTTAAATAGGAGCGGACTGAGCACATTGGTTGGGATGTGGAAAGAAATCAATGTCAGTATTTTGCGTCAAAGGTTTTGGCCGACTTATCTTGATGAAGCCTGTAGCATAAAGATAAGAAAATCACTGTCTTATCTGGATCAGAAGTCACCACAACAGTAAGACTCCAAGCTTCGAGACTAAACTGTAAATACAATCAAGAGGATCAACCCAAACAATATATAATTGGTTACCAGTCAGTTTGTATGTCATTTATCTCGAAGTGATAGTACTTTCAAAGACTCCTAATCTTTTCTGAGACTGATAAGTATTAGACAGCCATATCACATAGAAAAATTTTATTCTAAACGATGCGATTAGTTCATAGTTAATAATTTAGATTGCTTCATTTGGGGCTTCTAGATATTGAGAGTGGAATGGGTGAATACAAGACCACATTTTTTGGATTTAAAACTACGTATCAATCTGTTGACCATAGGAGGATATCACTAGATAAATGTGTGAAAGAAGACATAAAATTCACAATAAAAAAGGTAGAAATCAAAATTGTTCTGCTCCGAAAGCCAACTTCAGGTGTTTATTTTGTGTCTTTTCTTAGGGATGTTTATAAATGTGAACAGTCTAAAATACCTCTTATTAAGTGCAAATATTTTTTTTATCAATATAGTGCCAGTTCACCACCTTATAATTTACTTATGAAGAAAATTGGGCATATAGACGTTCTTTCAAAGGAGAAAAAAGGAGTGGCAACTAGTAATATCTATATAGGATTCATTCAACCCAGGTGGACTGATTTGTTTTGAATGTTCTTTTTGCACTAAGAAACCATTTTTAACTCCAAGTAGATTATCTTTCTCTTATCAATGTTAAAATGACAGGCTTTGTTCCAGAACTTGAGAACTAGTGCTTTGTTATCAGTAAAAAAAATATAAAAAACAGTTAGTGTGAAGTGTAGTAAAATCAGGAACTTTCCATCTCAAATGAATATACATTTAACTCTATTCTTTCAAAAGTCATGCTGATAGCATTTTTCTAAATAAGTGAGCGAGTTGCTTACTTAGAATTTGAAAGAAAGAAATTAAAATACTTTTTATTTTTGTTGTTGTCACATCAGTTAGATACTTTAATATTATCGCATAACAGCCATCTCTAAACAGTCACACTGTCTGCTAACTTCACCAGTGAGTATTGGTTACCGATATCTATAGTCCTAAAAACTTTTTTATGAGGCTATTTTAAATGACCCGTATGCTGTACCGAATAACAATATTCAGGCAAAGATGTAATTTTTTTAAAATGGCGATCCCCTTGTTTTTCGTCATTGAATCCTATCTGCACGCCACAATGAGTGTATGTATATAATTGTATCACTTGTCATGATAACATAAAGAAAGTGGTAACGCCAACTTTCTAGAACACCCTTTACTACTATATATATATATATATATATATATATATATATATATATATATATATATATATATATATATATATATATAGTGTTCGGAAAACAGGCATTTCAGATGTAATATAATGTACCCACAGAAATAATGACAATGACCGGATGTGACAAGATGCATTCAAAATACCATACCTGTTCAATAATTACTATCTGCTTAAGAAACAGAATTTACAAGATAGTGGGAATATCACTGTACACTATTTCCAGTAATAAAGTCGAATGTAAGTCTTTATTACAAAGTCTCACTTCCTTATAACGCTACAAGCTGATGAAAATACAGATACGAATTTAACCGATTGGGTATACAAAGACAAAGCGAATATGTAAGGATCGGCATATGTGCATACAAGTAGCAGGTGGTGTAGGCTAATAATTCATATTAGTGAATTCGAACCACAGACAGATACTGGTTGAAGCTAAGTAAATTCACTGCTAGTTCAAATCGTTCAACAGACATAACTGTAACCCTAAATGTTTTCTTTTCAACATTTTCATGTTACTGCTTGTAATTTCTTGTCGTTGACTGGACCGAACTAATCTCTACTGGCATTTGAGCATATGTTAGATTGGTCCTGGGTCCGAGCCCTAGTGAGAACAACATCACTCACTGGAAGATAGACAAATCCGGAAGAAGAGCCTCAAATAGAATTAAGCGTGTGTCTCGGATTCTAGTTACAGCCGCTATCCATCATTGATAGTGTATTTAATGTACATGAAGTATGACGCAGATTTAAACAAATAATACAAATATTGCATGCCAAGTAGAAAGATGACATTAGATATAGTTTAAATTTGTGTAGTTCTAATATATTTACTTGTATGTACAGTTTGGCAAGAAGAGAACACCATATATGGTAATAACAACCAATGTCAGGTTATATATAAAACTATCAGTAACCTACTTCTTGATGAGACCAGATAACTGTTCCAGAAACTGAAATTAATTCAGATGAAGCAAGACAGTTTTATTTATGCCATAGATAGTAAGGACATTTAAAGGAAGTAAAGGGGGTCAACGCGAGTTCAGTGGATAGGGAAAAAGCAGTTTGGCGTAAACAATATCAAAACTTTTGGAAGAAACGAATTTATAACGACACTGAAAAATCTCAAGCACATGTGTACCGTATAAGTTTTTCAGCTGTATCACATCAACAAAGTTATTAATACTTACAACCCGAGTGATCGAAAGCGGCCCAAATAGAAATCGACATTTTTTGTAATCAGCGGCTAAGATAGGAGTTTCGGATTTCAATTTTAATTTCGTATCACTGTAATCAGGAAAAACCTTAGTGGACGAATTATAACGTAGTTCACTAATCAAAATAATTCATTTAACTTTTGATCTAGTGGTTTATCTGTTCATAAAACTGTATATAAATGATGTACTTTTGTTGAATAAAGTGACCTCTTAACAGTCACAGGTCGGCCATTGTGTTCTGATTTTTGCAGCTCAGTGAAGTACAAGATTCTGGAGGAGAAACGTTCCTACTCACATCCGGTTCAGGTGTCTCACTGCGTTTTTATCGTTGGTGTATTTATTATTTACTCCGTCATCTCACTGAGCCTCAGTGTTACGGTTACCAGAACCCTTGACAATAAACGAAGTGAATACACTGACCTTAGTCTCTTAGGTCATTTATATCTATAGTTCTAATGTCAAAATGTATGGTGTTGGGAATACTAAACTACCAACAACTCTATAGACAATCAAATCGCGAAGGAAGATAGAAATTGTAATTCAACAAAAGCTTAGAAACTTACCAGTGATGAATATTTCAAAGTTATTAGGGCCTCGGCAATTAAACTACTTACTTCTACAACTCTTAAAATAAACTGTAAAAGAAGTAAAGAACCAATCGACTGGGCACGAGTTTCAAACTTGGCATTTTGACACAATGTTTCAAAAATGAGTTGTGTTACATCACTGTATCTATTATCAAGTAAACTTATTCAGCGTGTAATTATACTTCATCTGAGTGTCTGAATCCTACTCTTACTCAGTTATGTTAAGTCTTAGTGAGTGCTTATCCAGAAGGTATTGACTTACCTATATGATGATCCACTCGATGTTAGGCGTGAACGTCTTTGTAATGAACGATCAGGATAGGTACACCGGAAAAATGTATGATGTTCAATTGATTTTTTCCAGAATTGTTTGCACTCGTCACGCGAATCGAAAATAAATTCAATTGTATCCTGTCATCGTATATGATAAAGTGTTGAGCATTATATTTATATACAAGTAATGATTAGGAATAAATTCTAGGGTAATAAATTATACGCTGCTATCTAGTCAGAATTATCAATAGTTATAATAATTCTAGGGAATTAATTGGTTCAACATATTAACTGAAGGAACTGGGAACGACAAACTTTGAAGGCAACTTATTATTAAGGGCTAGCGTCAGTCATGGGGTTATTGAAAATCATTATCAGATGGTTCGACATCGAATTGTAACTCGCTACATAACAGCCTGCCATGCAGTCACCATAGAAGATCTTATTCATGAATCAAGTTTTCAGTCGGTCACTCATACTTACTTCCTTCCCTGATTATATTTGGAGACTAATGTAAACCTATCTTATAGAAAGTTGCAGACAAACTTTGTACAAACTACGTAAGGATACGTAACTCAAAGCAACTACACAATGTGTCATGCATGAAAACAATGCTGAGTTGCATCCTGTAGACACGTCTCGAGGTTCTACATCCAGAAAAAGCAATTTAAAGGAAAGTTCGAGGAATCATTGAGTGAAAATTCTAAGGGACAAAAGTTAATGCTTATCGTAATTCATTTAGTTCTTTGATTTCCCACCAACGTTTGTGCTCACTAATTCTGATAGTAACGAAGTCGAATGCTTAATACACATGATTTATGATAATGGCAACAGGGCTAGTCATTAAAATGTGTTACTTGTGAAAATGTCGAGATGATAAATCACGGTCTGTGTTGTTACATCTTTGAAGAGTATCCACAAGTTTTTTAAAAGTTTCGCTTCATTGAAGGCTTTCCTCTAGGAGTTGGCTAATAATAGCAGAAAAATGATTCTTGCTAATAAGAATATGCAAACTTCATACTTTTATATTCGGACTAATCTTAAAAGTTTACAAACCACTTTCCAAACTGCCTATCATTATCAAAAAGTAAATAACTCTGAAAGATCCACAAACTTTTTAAAGGAATTCATGTGTTTCATTCCGTATTTTTTGCAGTTGTGTAAAGCCTACACAGAATTTAATGCATAGTTGCCATCTTTTTATAACAACTACCTGTTTATCTTTTCGGTTTATCATATCTCATGAATGTATGTAACATTAGTTTTGCACACTGTCCCAGAAAGATAACAAGTGAAATGGAGTACTGCAGTCCTGCTCGCATAGTTTAAGGGGTAACAAATATTCTCAGATCAGATTTCTTTAGGACAGTATGAAAATCCAAAGTCTACTTAAAAAGAATCCTCAAATTTCGCAGCCTGTTCATCATCTTGCTTACGACTTTCTCAGTATAACCAGTTCGCAAGTATACCTAGCCTTTAAAAGTAGATATATTTTACTCGATTCTTAACGGTGATTTAGCACGATTAAATCCTAAAAGTAGTGTGTGAATATTAGTGACGGATAGTGGCTTGCAACGGAATCCAGGACACGCATTCCGTCTAATTTGGGACTCGCCAGCTAGATGTAGCTGTCTCCCAACAAACAATGTTGTTCCCACTAAGACTTAAACCCTGGGTCGTTCGTTTCACATGCCGAAGCGTTATTTCCTCAAGCACCAAGTCACTACAGCAACTTTTGTGCAGCCAGTTTAGTTTAAATGATGTTACTTGCATTATCCCATCTTCGATTGGGTCGAAGTGATAAGTCTCTATCGAGATATGGGTTTCTGCACGGATGCCTCTGTTTCAGTTTTATATTAACAACCAAGTCAGTTATATTGAGGTATCCACATAGAAGCCCATATGCGAGCAGGTCGATCAATTCGATCCAGTATAACAAGGATGAATTACAAGTACCAGGAAGTAATAATAACACCACTCCTTGGTAAGCAGGTACATCTAGTTGACGAGTCCCGAACTAGATGAAACACGCGACTTGGATTCTACTGCCAGTGCACTATCCATCATTCATATAAAATTAATACATAGGCAATACTGAGGCATGCATGTAGGAGCCCATATGCCAATGGACACCCATCAATTCGATTCAGCCAATGATAGGATAATACAAGTAACAGCACAGTGTGTGAATAAACAATAAATTGGGAATGTAAACAAATCGAAAGTGATATCCATTTACGCTTGGGCTGATACTGAAATGTAACAGTTCCTAAATTGGACACTGTCATTTTCCATAGTAAACTTCTGTTAAATACTTCACTCGATGGAATATACACCAAAATAGAGAAATTCACAAAGGGGAAACATATCCAACAATAAGAATATTAACTCACATAAGTATCTGCATGCAATTTGACGAGAAATTTTTTCCGTTTGAAACTTAATTTACGTATTTTCGCCCAAGAAAATGTATTCACCTTTATCAAATTTTGAAACACTAGTAAGCCAAGGTGTGTAACCGCGAGATTTAGTGCTAAACCTTCATGATCCTAGGAGAAGTGAGTAAAAACAAGTAAATTAACTATTCAAATTTAGTTATTTAAGTGAGTACAGCTTGAAAGCTATTAGTTACTCGGTATAATTACCGTTTATAACTAGTTTAATTGTCTAGCTTTTATTGTTGAACAACAATCAATAAAAAACTGTCAACAAAAACAGTTAATGAAAGTTAAACTTGATGTCTCGTTATTCCTTATTTCATATGATTTTTTAATAAAACATTTGTGATCGAAAGTTCAAGCGATTATTTTAGTGGAAGCTTTTGCAAGAAGTAGTTTTTTCCTGTTCACGATAACAGGTCATTTCATCTTTATTCAGAAAAAAAAGAACTAAATTAATTTAACTGAATAGCAGTTTACTGATACACATATTTTAGAAACTTATTTTTTCATGTGTCTTGATCTGAAAGAAACGTATTCTATATTTTTGGTAGCATAAGAATGACTGGAAGGATCCATTTTGTTGATAGAAACATCATGTTATACAGCATCAACAGAATTCTTAGTCGTAGTTTCAAACTCGTTTCAAGAAGACCTTAAAAATAACTTTAGATATCTGTTTCTATTCAATTATTTAAGCATTGCCAATTAAATTATTTTTATTAATATCACAACGCAGATAAACATGGTAGTAGTCTAAGTGAAAGATTCTATATCTGCAGTACAGCTTTGTAAGCTCACCTTTACCAATAATCAGTTATTGTGATATTCACTAAGTCCTAAAGTAAGCTTAAGTTCTACAGTGAAAAAAATTCGATAGCCTTACAGATCAAAGGTTAGGCACAGTAACACGTTAGCAAAAAGCGATGAATAGGACTATCGAGAGACAGCATCTATTTGAAGTTAATTTCTCTAAGCATCAGCATTGTCATCACGCAAATGCAATACCATGGATTTACTTTTTTACGAAAGATTCGTATCAGAATAATGATAGCAAAATGTCCATTTGGAAATCCATTGCTTAGAGACGATTGATGATAAGTGAAACACACTTAAAAGTAACTGATACTATTGGGCATTCTATCATAATAGTAAATATGACTTGGTATTTTTGTGGCATAAATCCTTTGCTGCATAACCGTCAAATGGATGGATATATTAGTTACCACTTTGAGATCATGGTAAATAAAATAGTTTGGGAGTGCTCAAGCTTCCTGGAACTACTGATCAAGAGAAACCTGTTCATAGAAAAGTTAGGTCTTTTAGATCAGTGTCAAACTACGTAGTCACTGACTAATTGTTTAAACCATACGTGAACTTGTGAGTTTGCTGAAACACCTTATATTGGGAAAACCTCATTGCTTATCTTGCGCTTGGACCCAGGTGGTCTAATAACAAGGCATATTTTCGTAGATCCTCGTAATAAACTTTGTTGATTTTCTTTTTGTTGGCCGCCTTAGTATCTAGTAAACAGGACGAAAGAGGGAAGGCGAAGCATCACGTACTGCTTTGTTCACTCACTGAAGTCAATCTATCAGCTTCAGTACAAGGAGTAGTATAAATCAAACCTTCAAATACTCTACACGTAATCTCCAGCTAATATAAAATTAATAAGCTTTTAGTGTGAACAAAACTGACAGATCATTACTAAAAAGATTAGAGTTGCACGTTTGAAGTAAACGGTTTGACGGATGGCTAAAATGATTGAAATACTGACTTGCTGCCAAAATGGCTCTGCTTACCCGAGCAAAATGTAAGCGAACACCATAGAATTCAATTTTTCTTGCTGTATCCAGTAAAGCGAAATCTGCCTCTGTTGGCGTTAATCCACTGTAAACGAAAAAATAAAGCAATGTCAAAGTTATACCGCAACGGTCAATGATCAAAAAAGTTAATTAAGACAAATATCATCCTGTTACCCTTAGGACAATCTACTGACAACTACTGTATCCACGTCAAGCTAGGTAACGTCATCGGAAATAGCACTGTATGGTGTTAAAAGGGACATTTTAAAAATTCAGGTTTAACAACAGTAACCTTTGAACAATCTCATTTATATATTACTTCTATTCAAGCAAATCCACTGCTTTAACTTTGAAACAGGTGTGATTACCACCACTTGCGCACGAAGAAATAGAAGTTTTTCTTGGTTGATCTTTAAGATAACTGCACTCGTCAATGAAGGGGAAATAGCCTAGGCCAATTAACTGCCGTTTATATCGCTTTGTTCAGCTTCTTAGACGCTGAGTGAGATATCATATTGATCTTCCACTAGATGTTATTTATTGCATACTGATATGAAATCCACCTTACTATTGAAAATACTGGAAGGACATCAGAAAAACAAAAGATCAAACATATCGAACCTCATTTCAGTTTGGACGAAATCTACCAAAGCATGATAAGTAGATAACTTTACTGTTGTGGTACCCTGGTAGGCTACTGCTAGAATATTCTTTTGCAATTTTATTCAAGATAAGGCCACACTATATTCCTCAGGATGTCAGATGAAAACCTAACTGAAGAGTCTTCTATTACAAAATGAGCTAATTCCGTCCAGCTGAAACGAAAATGATAGTCAAACATCTGTCTGTTTTTAATGCTAACCTTGAATACAATATAGAGATTCGTTCTTCTAGGCCCTATCTTGCCTTTCGTTCAAATCTGGAATTATACTACAGTGGGTATGTACAAGCACTGAGACACACATTTTGAATGCACTCCACTTAAAATAAAATAAAAATGCAGTTAGGAAGTTCAACATGTACAAGTGTATGTGATTCTAGCAAAACTTCCCTTTAGATTGGAAGATAGTAAAACTATCAGGCAGATGATGGTTTTATATACTCAAGAAATATAACTAATTGATTATAACGCTAAATATTATTAGATTGAAATTCCGATGCTTTTCGAAAATAAGGTTTTTAAGTAGGAAATACTTCGGCATACTTGTTATCCACATCTTTGGTTTCAAATACAATAAATCACCATACTTTACAGAAGAATATAGGATTCAGGTGAAAATAGCTATCACATTTTCGAATGGTCCACAATTCGGTAACCTACAGCAAATTGCCATTACTATCAGACAAAGTTATGATGTCTCAAGTGTACTTAAAAGGAGTAGCTTCTGAATAAGAGACAGAGCTACAAACATGAATGGATTTGAAGTATCGATGCTTTTAAGTTACTGAAAATAAAGATAACTGTCGTCAGAATGTTATGCTGCATTTAGAAGATTCACACAGAAATTTTGACAGTAACGTTGAATCCCACGACAATAAGATTCAGCTATAATTGACTTTTCCAAATAACTAGATTTATTAGTGTGATTTGTGTTGGTCAAAATTCAAGTTTATGAATAAATTGATCAAATGGAAGGAAAATAAAAACATGGCAAAAACTGACATAAATCCTTGTCACTGAGAAACAAAAGCGCTTATTAAAAGCACTTCGAGTATCGAAACAATCCCATCTGAACAGTTGAAGAAATAAAAGACGATTGCAACAAAGAAAAAATTTTCTTTTAGACAAAATCATTCTGTTTACTGTATATTGTTGAATATATAGTAAAAAAAACATTCCAGAGTAATTTACTGTCAAAGGTCGAAATAAATTGCGTCACAAAGGCAAGTTAAGTAATGTGGAAATAAACAAAATGATTAAAAAAAACAATAATAGTTGCGTCGTATGTGGAGTATCATGAGTGATCGACAATCTACAGTGGCCATGGCAAAGAATGAGGTTGTACATATTTCTTTTGAAAGCATAATGATGATTTGAACTTTCGAATATCTAATGCTTGAGATATGCATAGATGCCTTGGCCTCACTCCTTTGACCAGAAATTACTCTGGGATGTTCTATCTTTTTTACTGCATATTCACGAATGTACAGCTAAAAGAATGATTTCATTGAAAAGATAATTCTTTCTTTGCTTCAATCGTCTTCTGCACTTCGAATTGTAAGAAGAGGATAGTAAGAAAAGAAAAAGCAGAAACAGAAATAAACGTTCATTACTCATTACGATATCATATATCTGAGGTGTATGCAAACAATTACATCACTTCTGAAGATTGCAGTAGCGAGTGAGGTAAATTAATAGGATTTCTGCAGGTCTGTAGATCTCTTCACTGTTGCCAGTTCCGAAAAATGAAAAGGAAGGTTATAGTTTACAAGGAATTTGTGGATGACAAGTATTTAAAAATCTAGTCCGCATAGTATTCACGACTCCAAATTTTCTAAATGAGACTACTTGATACCGTTTTGGTTAACGAAATACTGCATGATAAATAAAGCTGAGAAAAAGACTCAAACTGGAGGCCAACAATTTGTTAAACCCTAATTTATACGTGTAAGGAAAAAAAGATCTAAGTAATAATGCTTTCAGATATAAAATTAATAAATCTTACACATGAGCTTTGTGAAAATCTCTAACTCGACGTAGGCGCTCATCATTCGGTTCATGAAGTAATCTTAATGGTTTTAAATAGGCAATGGTTTCTGTATTCTTCATGTATAAAATCACCGATTTCAGCTAGATATTTCAATGAACAAAGTAAAAAACAGGTGTGATTAGCTTGGCGAATGTTTCAGCATGTCAAAAGCTGACAGAACCATGGATGATAATAAAATCTTAAATCTTTACATGAGCTTTGAAATGAAAATGGAATTACGGTAGTGTCACTTTCATTACTGTAGCAATCACTATGAAAAAAATAGGAAGTTATGTACAGCTTAACTGATACTCAGTTGACAGTTTAAGTTTCTTGCAGCCAGTGACTTATAAGGGACTACTGCTTTGGTACCATTTTTATTTCTATGTCTTTCTTAAGCCAGAGGTGCGCACGATTTGTTGGATCAAGTATAAGTAACATTGAACTCGCTAAATATTGTCTGGAAGTAGGACCTAATCAACACAAATCGCATAGCTGCAACACTTTTTTAATCACGGCAACGCAGTTAATTTTGTTTAATAATAGCTGGCTACTTATAAGTAGCATAAATATTATACCGAAGAAAGACATTGGACGTTCATGCCTTTGTGCATTCGGATGGGTTCTGTTAGTCTTGGAAATACATATGGATCTCGGCACAATATTGTTCAGAAAAAAATTGTTAAACCATGGCAGTGTGATGTGTTCTTTTTTCGTATGCCTTCTTCAGCTCACTTCAATTAGAGATAGAAGCTGTCTTCAAACCAAAGTGTTAAATTTAAAACCACGATCTTTTTAACCTTGATATATATTATAGTTATATTCCTACAGAGAAATTGTTAACACAAGTATATACTGTCATCGGTCTTCAGAGGTATACAAAAGATAATAATACACAGTTGGCCTTCCTTCTACAGACCGTGTCTCACTTATTTCATGCAGATTGGTGAGTTTCTCGCAGATTTCATGACGAATAAAACGGAGGCAGTTTTTGTCGTTATGTAACTTCAAGGAATATTGTCACAAAACTATAAATCTGACAATGCGTTTTCTCAAGTTAAAGATTAAGAGTTATATATATATATATATATATATATATATATATATATATATATATATATATATATATATATATATATATATATATATATATGGAGGAATAATATACTGAGTCAAGAAAGTAGAATACGTTAATAATTGTTTTAGGGACGTTCAGTAACCGGGAAGAAGACATTGATACATTTTTGTGCTGGAAAGAATCAATTTCAACATAAACAGTATGAATATTACCTTGGACAATGTATGAAGCTAGTAGTGCAGCCGTATTCTCACTGCACAGTAAAGTGCCCGTAACCAAGTCACGTTTTATTTGCAAAGCGAACAAGTATCTGGAAGTATTAACGATTAAAAAAAACTAATAAATTCGTAAGAAAGGGAAGTAACTCAAATACAGAGCTATACAAACAATACGTAATCACACGCATCATTAGTTCAATAATGAGCGTTAAAGCATGTGAATTAGACTGGTGAAAATAGAAATCTTTCTTACGGGAAGCTCAGATACTTGTTGATAATTGTCCCGTTTTTATTTCCGGCGTTTGAAGCGACAGCTACTGGGTTTGAGTCTCAGTGGAAACATCATCACTCGCCGGAGTTCAAGTACATCCAACTACATCCAAAGAAATGCGCGTCTTAGATTCCAGTGCTCATCACCAACATGAATACAATATCATGGAAATTCGGCGGTATCCAGACATCCGTATAGGAGTCAAATTGCCAACAGTGGTAGAGTAATTCAACCCGGTATAGCAACAGGAAATTACAAATATAAAACACACTGATACAGTATTGTTTACTGGATAATGTTTCAAGCATAAATTACTTCCCATAATCTTATCAATGCAATCAAAACGCTTCAGACATCAGATTTTTATAATCCTGTCACTTCATATTCTTTGTTGTAGTGGTAGTAAAGTTTCTCATTTCTCTCGTACAGGCGCTGCATAATTTCTGTTGCATGTGTTGTCCGTAGATTTGATGGACAGAGATTCAATAATCAATCCCTCTCTCAACCTAATTATACTAAACTTTGGTACAGCGGTTTTTATTCCACCCAGCCTATTATGTGGTTGCATGTTAATGGATGAATTGAAACAGCTTATTTTTTCCCAAATTATTGGTCTTATTCGGGTCTATCATTCTACATTTAGCTAAATTCATATGTCCTCAATCAGCTAATCTGCCCTATGTAGTTGACCTCAAAGTCACTGAATGGAATTCGATGGACTAGATCATTTTGCTTGTTTATATCTATCAAGGCCTTAGGTCAATAAAGCTAATCCCTGCGTGAGTTTGTGGGTTTAAATGCCACCTTAATCTCAGCCCTGACGAAAATCCTACGTAAAGTTTCTGATTTATATGATGGCACAGTAGAGGCTTTGAACTTATTTCTACTTGCGTCATCGTTATTATTTGTACTCGTGTTACTGTTATTATTTCGTTTCTAATGTTTCTGATGTGTTCTTACGAATTTATTAATAAACGGTAGAGGATTATTATTAATTAGTAACGCTTCTTTTATGTTTCAATTACTTGTTTAAGTCCTTGCATTAATGACAGAGTTTTCTATCTCTATTATTTAGACATTTGATTAAACCCACCTTAACTGATATTCCAGGAGAAGACACGAAGGCTAGATTTCTATTAGAATGTGCCCGTTTCCTGTAGACGGTAGTATCTAAGCCATCGTCTATTCTTTGTTTTACTCCACAATTCAGCAAATCGAATTCTCCTTGTTCATTTCCTACCTCACAAGTGAATTCGGCTGCGGCTTCTACTACTGGAATTAGGTTGACATTTATACTTACAAACTCACTCAGAGATAAAATCAGCTGTCGGAAGTTTTGTGATTGCATTAGTGTGATTATGGAAAGTAATATATGCTCGAAACGTTATCAAGTAAGTATTACTGTATCACGGTGTGCTGTATAACAAATAAACAAATCTGATGTGGAATTGCATCCTACCAGTGTCCAAGTTTTTCCCTTATATTGCTGATCAATAAAACCTATGCTTTTTTAGACACTACTCAGCTCCAGTTTTATTGCAAATTCTTTCTTGACTGCTGTAATTCAGTTATCTATGAGGATGACTGGATATGTAAGTCTTTTTTGTCATCCAAATAAGTAAAGATTATGTCGGCACATATGTTATTTGCTAGTATTCAGTTTCTTTCATCACTTGAGGTCTGACTACATTTAATATGGTAGCATACATCACTCAAGCGATTTCAGTTAGATATTATTTAATATTATTAGTTCTAAACAGTGCTTGCCAAAAGGAAATCGACTCTGCTTAGTACCAATTGTTAACTATTTCCACTATAAGATCTATGCAGAAAACTGAAAGCTATTGATAATAAGCAATTTAAATTCTTATGAAGTTGGGATTTAAAAAACAATGTAGCAACAGAAGTGGTTACCTCAACATTACCAGTATCGATCACTTTGAAGATTCTTGTGCTAAAATCCTACTGTTTGTTGGTCATGAGATGATCAGTTGAACTCAACGGAACTAAATTTGTATACTCATACTATTTATGAGTAGTTAAACGCAGTCAAGAAAATAAACTTTACAAACCTCTAAAAAATAGACAGCGATGTCTTTATACGAAAGTAAAAATTGTTAATATCAGTTTTATAAACGTTTTTCACTAAGATATGATGCTGAAAAGAAACTAATTTGGCAGCTGAAAATACCTACCTGGATGATCTTTTAAAAATTGGGCATATGAACTAACTGGTTCCTGCCCCAAATATCTTGTCCGTAAAAAAGGATTATGTATACAAATTCATCAGATATCTTTCAGCAAAACACAAAGCATCTATTTAGTATCCACTAATTATCGAGAACTTTCCGACTGACATTAACTTGTTACCAACTCAAAGACTACAACTAATCCATAGTCCATCCACCTTATTTGAAGATTCTTTAAATAAAGTGAAATACTCAATCACAGAGGAAGACTAATGATAAACTAGAGTTCATCTTTTCTTCTTCCCTGTACTTAACTACTAGCTGCCGTTGCAAATGATTAGATGGGGAAGTTTTGACTTTTCCTACTATGACACCAAAACTGCATATAAAATTAGGTTTCCAATTTCTGTGTACAGACCTGATTTTTTTCTCCATCTTTAAAGTGGTAGTAAAGTTACAACCAACTCTTACAAAGAAATAATTTACTGCATCAACGGGTTTTGCTTTAGTCATTCATTAATCTAATGATCTTAGATTATATAATCAAAGATCTCTTTTCCATCAAAAAGTATTTCCCAAAGGTAATATTTTGATCAATACGACTTTTACATTATAAAAAGAAGTCAACGAAACCTAGTTTCGAGCACAAAAGTTCTTTAGGGTTATAATAATACTTGATATTGTCCCCTTAAAATATACTAATATGTAACTAAAGGCAGCTGGTTCGAATCCTGCGGAAGATCAGATTTTCACTTCAGCTTGAATCATCACTCAGTATCAATCCAAGTCTGTCGAATTACAGCTATCGAAGATAGTCAAACTGAAATCATTTTGAATATCCGAAACTGAACAAAGATTGAGAGTAATTATTGCCCATTAACGTGTGTCAGATGTGTGTCTGATCAGAACCCATATTTGTTTGCATGAACGAAACAATATGCGAGTTAACATGATAATTTTGCAATCAAGGGGAATAGAGAATTTTCGAGAACCTTAGTGAACAAGAGGTCAGCTGTTATTGAAGAGAAGTTTAGTGATTCAGCTGAGTTATTCACATTGAAAATGCAAAGGATAATGGCAAAAATACGAAACTGAACAACAAACTATCTATCTTCAAATGATCTTTTGTTCTTCATATCATCCCATACAGTTCTTGCACTTTATGTTCCCGTCCAGTATTGTACATTCTTCCTGCCTCATTACTCACTAAGCAATTTCTATCAATTTCGGGATCGTTATACATCCCATCTATATTCATACTTATCGATGGCGTTCACTACAGTTTGACTCAATTGAATATACCTCAGATCACCTTCATTATTCATCCGCTTCTGCTAAAACGCAAAACCAAGTTGTATGACAGTTTAACAGTTCCCAAATTCATATTAGTCAACACAAATGTTTAACTTCAAGTCAAACTCAAGCTGAAAGCTTTATTGCTTGAATTAACTGTCAGTGCTACTAATATCTTTCAGAAAACTATCCCTCGAGTAACAAAGCATAATAAATATCATCTATCAATCAGGCATCATCACTAACCGTGTGTATGCTTCTTCCAGTAAATTAGGATGAGGCGTATAGAATTTAACACTGAATCGGTAAATAAAATCTTGACTTGGAGAATATTGTCGTAAAACCGTTTTATCATGATCCAACCAGCACTAGAAAACACGGGTAAAAACAAAAACAAAAGTTTACCTGTATTGTGATACAGGGTACATAAATTCATGGAACAGAAATAGCAGGGCTGAAACTCTGAATCATGAAATTATAAACAAACAAATGCAAAGAAAGAATTAATAATTCATCGACTACAATGAAAATATTTTTTGCTGACAAAATTGATTGAAAAACCACTGGCACTAAGCAACTATCCGAAATCTACTTTATGCAACTTAAGGTTTACTTATGAATCTAAAGATTTTCTCTCCTACTGGGATACAGCTCTCCACTGTTTTTAATGTTGTCGCCTACTTTCGAAATCAGAATTCGAAAATCAGTGACTTTAGAACCTATGAACCGCGCCTAGTTAACTGATTCTCTAGTTTACTAGGAGGTCCGAAACGCGTATAAAGAGAGAAGGATAGACATAGGGCTAGCGACCCTACCACCGAAAAAAAGTACAATCCCTAAAGAAACTTCAAAGCACAAAGAAAATGCAAAACATAAAAACAAACTTATTCCTTGCTGGAATCGGGGAGACGAAAAAACGCCGGTTGGTGAAAGCCCTCAGGAAGCCAACTGGCTGATGTGTGTTCGCCTTTCTAGATGAAAGCGAAAAAAAGAATGGGGACATAGAATCTCTGCACTATGTTTAAACCTAGCAAGGCTGCCCAGGTTGCAAAAGAGATTAGGAAGTATGGCATGGAAGTGCTAGGAATCTGAGAAAGTCGATGGAATGGAAGTGAACTCTCTAAACTGTCAACTGCAGAGTCAATAATCTACTCCGATTTTATTACCCAGACAACAACCACAATCACACTGAGTTACGGAGTGGTTATCATGATGTCCCCAAGAGCATCGATGGCTCTCATGCAGTGCAAACCAATCTTCTCCTCCAGGATCATGACAGCAACATTCAACTCAAAAAGAAAGGAAAGTCATAATCACACAATGCTACGCTACGCACCTACAAATAATGCAGATCAAGAGAAGAAGGAGGAGTTCTATACAGAACTGCAATCAGTACTCGACAAGACCTCACCCCAGTTGGTGACATCAAAATTCATTATAATGGGTGGGATGACATGAATGCCAAACTCGGAGCAGACAACACAGGAAGAGAAGTGATCATGGGTCGAGAAGCACTCAGTGAAATGAAGAATGAGAATGGAGAACTGTTCGCAGACATCTGCGCACTCAACGATTTGGTGACTGGAGGTGACGCAGTGTGTACAAACACAAGGATATTCACAAGGCAGTGACATCCATTTGATTTCACCAGACACCACGACACACTACACTAAACATCAGGTCCACTTCATCTCAATCTCGATAAAGTGGAGACGCAGCCAACTGGGCACAAAATCAGATCAAGAAGGGGAGCAGACGTAGAAGGTTCACATCACTCACTATCTAGTGCAAGGAACCTACCTTCAAAATCAAGTTGAAAGCCTTCGATTCAAGGAAGTTGGTGATGGACCACAGTTCAAGTTCAACACCCGAAACAGGAACTGAAGGATGAAAGTAAAAAGGACATCTTTACGTCAGTCAGTCAGTCATCAGGAGAAAATAAGAGACATAAAGCAACATCTCCGAAGGAACCTGCGTGGAAGAACACTGGAACTCTTTGAGAGAGCCGTGGAATGAAACCTGCGTTGTTGTGTTTGACAAGCAGCTGCTGCAACATTACAGACGTACCACGAACCTTTATCAATCTCAGTCAACAATTATATGACGACGCTCAGAGACCCCTCTAAAGTGAAGAAAGGAGTAAGATAATGTGACCTACTGTCACCAATGATCTTCCTTATTGTGGTCGACTGCATCATGCAGCAAACTGTGAGGAGCGAGAAGATGGGCATACGCTAGGTGGACCAATGAAAAGACCCCATAAGAAGATTTGAATTTCGCCGAGGATGGTTTTTGTCCAATATTTTGTCGCACAAACTCGAAGATCTACAGCCAAAAACCAACAAGTTGACAGAAGAGTTAGCGAAGACTGGACTTCAGGTCAACATGGAGCAGATAAAGGTGATTAAGATACCCAACCAACAACAACAAGCACTAGTCACCACCAACGAGAGAAACCTAAAAGGAGTTGTCTCTTTCACCCAGCCACCTAGGCAGCATCGTTTCAACTACAGGCGGCACAGGCACAGATGAGGATATTAAAGCCAGGATCGGAAAGACAGCAAGCAGACCTTCATTAACCTGAAGTCAGGGTGAAGATCTACCGCACTCAACATAAAGAACAAGATTCGGATTTTCAACACTAATTCAGTCAAGTCAGTGCTTCTATGTGGTTCAGAAACTTGGCACTTTAAGAAAAGCATTCCCAACAAATTACAGACATACATCATCAACACCTGCCACCTGCGCCCACTCAATGCTGAAGAACAGATTAGATGGTCAGAATAATAAGAATAAGAGACAAGCAACTCTGGCTGGTAACGAACCAACCAAGTACCTATCGTCCAATAAATGTGTCGAAGAAAGTGGAGATGGATTGGGCATACACTAAGAAAACCACTCGGGGACATCAAGTGCCAAGCCGGGGCCTCGAGTAGAACCCTAAGAGAGAACGACGAGCTGTGCGTCCGATGTGAAGGTGATATGGAGATCATGTGAGGAAGAAATGAAAGCTTCGGAGGAGTCGTGGAGCGAGGTTCAGAAGATTTCACAGAACAGAGGGAAATGGAGACGTGCTACTGAAGCCCTATGTTGCACTAGGAGCCCAAAGGACAAATAATAATCATAGTTAGAACCCAAAGGATAATGACCATTTTCAGCACCTTTCGGTCGGCATTACAACGTGATTCATCAAATGTATCACAGCTACACATAGTGAGTAACAATTAATAAGCATTTGAAGGCTTTAGACAGCCATACAGGATAGTGTTTGAAGATACGTTTGGACAGAATACGCTCTTTATGGCCTATGTAACCAGCTCCACAAGAGCAAGTGAATTGGTAAACATACACGGAGGTGGCCCAAAGCGGTGATTTATCCTTTACAGACCCTCCAATCAGTTGCTGACTGTATAAAGAAATGCGAAGCTTGACAGAAAAGA